CCCTTCAAGTCTGGAATTGAACCCACACTTGTGGCTTCCAGCCAAACAAAAGACAGGCATATGAATTGAACATGTACCTTAGGTAGATACACTCCTTGATGAGAACAATCATGGGAGAAAGAAAGGCTGTTTATGCACAAGGAGACAGTTCAGGGGGTAGGAGTGCCTGGAGGGATGGACACAGGGAAGAGGTTAACTATGGAGAGGAAGTGGGAGGGGAGCTGTTGCATTGTGGTAAACTGTAGTCAGTGTCATGAAACAAAGTGTATGTGAACTGCTGTATGGAAAATGAATTTGCTCTGTAAATCTTCACCCAAATCACAATAAAAAAATAAATTAAAACTCTGAATTATTTTTGCACCACATTCAAATACTCTGTGAAGAGATTTTATACAAAGGTCAAAAACTGCTATTTTCCATCACAAAGTCAACTTATTTTTAAAATGGAATATATACTATTACATTCTCTCCACCAATATATACAAGGTGTTGCTATGTATATGTGTGCGAACATGCTCACATACTTAGATTGTACATATAAACCAAACATACTTATAGATTCCTTATCAGTTCTTAAGTTTGATATTAAAATGTCTGATCAAAGACCCTCCATATAGCATTTTTAGCAGTGTATTGTTATTTTCACATAAATGATGCACATGTTATATGATTTTGCAAACCCTGAAACCCCCTCTTACATTAGCTTCCTTATGAGTGCTATGTGCTGTATGCGTGTGCCTGTTACTCAGGTGTGCTATATGCAAAGATACAGTAATCTTTCATTTCTACCTTTTTTTTCCTATATTTTTCAAAGGCTCTCTTTTGTTTGAAACTGAGTTTATGAAATATTATAATGAAATAATCATTTGAAATTACTGGTAGAATTTAGTTGACAATACATATATTTCCATTTGAAAGTAAGTTTGATTCTGGTTTGCGATCAACTTTAAATTGACTAGCCGAGTATGCTAATCTATATTTTTCCCTTGATTTTGTAATTGGTAGATATTTGCATAACATCAATATTCATTTTTAGTTTTTAAAAAAGAAAATTCTTGTACCACCCTTCAGACTTCTGTCTTAAGTTTCTACAACTTAGTTTTAAAGATTTTCAATGAAGACAACAAACATCGGAACATAGTTTAGCCAGACTTTAATAGGCAAAAAATTGTTGCTTTGGCAATGCAGAAAAGGATAACTGCTATAGTACAAATCATGATTTAATATACTTTTATTAAATATTAAAATGCAATAAGGCAATTACTGTTTAAGACACTTGAAATTACATTTAATAAATAGATAACTGGCCCCACACCTGGCATATTGCACCCCCTACTTTTTTTCTCTATGTACTCTAAGGAACACAAAAAGATACTTTAAAAAAACTGATCAGTGGTCTTTCTAAAAAAAACCTCAGAGGTTCTGATGACTACTAAGGTACTAATTGCTTACAATACAAACTTCTGAAAAGACACAGAATAATTATCTTTTATGGTGTTTCCCTTCAACGCATTTCTGCTATTCCCTGCTCCCTTGAATCCATTCCTAATGGTTCAACTGAAAGTATGCCTATTTAGGAATAAACAGATGTTTAATACATATTGGTCAGGCTGCCATTTAAGACAGGGCAGTGATTCCCAAACCAGGCTTCCCATCAGTATCATCTGGGAAAACTGTTTAAAATCGATCCTTCTCCATCTCTACTTCTCAGTATTCTCACACTCATTCCATCTTTTCTCTTACTCTCCATTTACCCTTCTCACTCTTATTCCCTTTTCTTTCCTCTCACCTTTTCTCACTTTCTCTCTTTTCCTTCTTTTTCTAATCATTCTTTTTATTCTTTGCTTCTTTACTTTCTCTTCCTAAAAATTCCTCCTTATGTAATATAAACAAATTCATACTGGAGACATAATACATGTCAGAAAACATTTAACCTAAGTAAACAGAATGATCAGTACAGATGACAACAGGGTGAAATAGAACTTCAATAGTAACACTGGTGTGGCATTAGATAAGCCAGGAAGAATGCTTTCAAATCCATAGCCTCTTCTGACGCTCATATTCTTGTGAGGTTGGTAGGGCATACTGATTATACTTAAAAAACCTAAGGCACAGAGGGGAAGTTAAATGACATGCCTGAGGTCCATAACCAAGAAGAAAACAGAGTTCTAATTCACAGCCTGTTCTTTTCATTACACCAATAACATCTGACTGGAAGTCACCCAGAGCAATGGGTAAAGCAGAAATATTATTAAGGCTCTACAGTGTCCAAAGATAACTTGGCTACCTTATACATAATGAATTACTCTTCATGGGGGAGGGGGGGAGAGTATGTACTTTCTTAAAATGTGAATCACAGTATATATTTTCTAAAGGATTTCCAGATCTTTTAAGATGGCTACTCCATTCAAGTTTGACAACTTTTTTAAAGTCATTCCACTTTGGTAATACTGTAGCCCAGAGATAGTTCTGAGGTCAGAATTGTTCTAACACACAGATTCAAAGAATATGTAACGTAATTTATATAAACTGCATAGATATACTATGTTCTATGAAAAGAACATTTATACTGGAAAAAAAATGTGATACATTCTACTGAGTAGTCCACTTATAATTCAACCTCATTAATTCTGAGAACTGTACTTCTTGAGTGCTCAAGGAAAAAAATTACCTAGTCTAAAGGTAAATTCAGAAAATTCATTTTAATACTGTTATGCAATTTCTATGATACCCTTAATTTTAGGTAAAACCCATCCTTCAAAGGAGAGTTTTCACTATAGCCCAATTTACAGTAAAATGTCCAGTTAGGTCAGGTCTGAATAAATTAGATGAAGAACCTTTCCAACAATCCACAATGTAGAGTGTGTGACAGTGTAACTAAGCCACAGTACATACGTTAGACCACAGAAGACAGTCCAGTGGGATAAACTATGGACACACTCTACACAGACCCAATCAATCGTATCAGAGCCCATGGGCTGAAGTTCTCCATTCACTGAGGCAATTAAATCTTAAGGAGCTTACTAATAATATAAATTCCTATCTCGTCAGTAACCCTAAGTGCTCACTTCTATATTTCTGAATCATATTTTGTAACCCACAAACTATGCCAAGAGTTGTGGTATCCTAACTTCAAGCTTCAAATGGTCAAAATAATTTCTATTGGTTCCCAAACTCCCAAACTAGCTGACTTCAAAATCATCTGAGGTGCTTGTTAAAAAGAGAGTCATAAACCAATTGGTGGCTTTTTCTGCACTGATTCTAACAAACCACCTATAAATTAGCATATTTGAAAAAGCTGGGAAATTTGCTTAAGGACTAAATATTAGAAGAAACCAAAGGACTATTGTTACTTCTGTTAGGTACAATGTCATTGTGGTTACCAAACTGTTCATATGCAGTGTTCATAGCAGTGAAATAACATCATGTCTGAAGCTTTTTAAGAGATATTTCAGCAAAGAGTAAAAAGGGATTAATGAGGCAATTATGGCAAAATATTGATACAGGTTTCATCTGGATGATACGTGACATCATACTATGCTCTCTACTTTTGTGTGATATCTAAATCTTTTCATTAAGAAAAAGATTTACAGACCTTATCCAAGTTCTAGTATGTCAGAGTCTCCAAAGGATGAAGCCCAGGAATCTATTCTTAACAAGCTCCCTGTGAGAGTCATATAGCCAAGCAGGCAGTGCTGTCATTTGGGAACCACTAGAAACGATCTCATATATATCCTCTAAACGTCAACATTCTAGGACTCACATTTTCTACTCAGAAGGCTCTAATTTCAACACAGTTCATAGGTTCTTGTACTCACCATGGCATTCTGCCAAAGGAGTTATGATCGTACACTCTAAATCCACCTAAGAGTAATAGATTGACTATCAACTTCGTATTCTTGCTCTCCCTCAATTTGCCCCTGATTGATTTGCAAAAGACATGGACTTCTAGACTGATGTTCTCTTTCTGCATATTTGATGTCTCTACAGAGGACACTGGGTTACCATAAAGCCAGTTGTCACTGTTTTCACAGGAGTGGTACTTTTCCTTCATGAGTTTCCCTTCCTATATTTAAGCATTGAAATACTGAAGAGAGAAAAAGATGTTCTTACAGCACTCGGTAAAATGAGATATGTGCCCCCAGCACAGTATAGAATCTAGAGTTATATTAGTTAGCCGGTCAAGAATGCCACAAGATGTAATATTTTTCTGGTTTTCAAGATTTAAAAATAATTAACTGTCTTAAGTGGTGTTCAGAAAAATGGAAGATATGCACATTAACTCAATCAAAACTGTTTTTCTATAAGTCAGTGTTGCAATCATATTCTTAATCCAAATCATTCACCAAAATTTTCTAACATACAATGGCTTCATATATTTGTTACTTCTAAAATATCTGGCAATGCCATTTTGAGGTAGATGAACAAAGTTTAAATGGACCACTTGTTTCTGCTCCATTATAACTAAAACTACTGTTCACAGAAGTGTATAGCTTATGCATTTTGGTCCATCACATTTTCCACCATCATATTAGCATATACTATATCAAGGTTCTCACTTTATTATCAACTTAACATTTTTTGCTTCCAGAATGCCCAGTAAAGCTGAAATTTCTTGCTTAAAATAATAAAAATCTCCCAAAATATGTTTAACAATCTTAGATCTGAGTTTTGGCAAGACAGTTTAGCACATACAAAATGAAAATCAGACACTATATTTCACAAATACGCATACACAAAACCCGATGACTAAAACCCGAAAGTTTCATTGTTCTCTCACCTTCTTATACAGCTGTTTTGAACATGCAGCTTACTTATAATCTAAAAATAGTTTCAAACACGATTGTCACAAAAAAATATTTTAAAACAGAGATGAAATGTATAAAGGCACACATAGATTGTCAATGGTTACATCGGTTACATCACATTTCTTAAGAAACAGAACCTTTTCTGCTCCTGTAAACAAGTTTGTTCTCATACATTTAAAGTGAGGTTAGTGCTGACACAAATTATTGCTATACTCACAGTTCGAGTGTTTTCATTGTGTATGAGGTACATTTCCTCCATCCATATACCCCTACTGTTCTTACTCACTTGAGAATAACAGTCAACAGAAGTCTGTAGTCTATTCAATAATTCAACAATATTTTCATCAATACTGGAATGATAGCAAATAACGCTACAAAACACCAGAGGTCTAAAATGTCCTTAGCAAGGGCCAAGATTTTAACTTACTCATAATTACATGAACATATTGCTCATTTAACCCCATCAGGAAAAAAAAATTATCCTCAAAATGGATAATTAATTCCTTACTGACCACTCTGTCCAAGACTATCCTTTCATACTTATCCTCTGATATTCTTTTAATTCAGTTGATGTAGCAGTCACTAAGAATCATATTTCTTTTGGTGGTCTATTGTAACGGTCTCTTATGCTTTTTGTTAGTTGTTTGATAATTATTTTATAGATTTTTCCACAATATGTATGCACAGTCTTTTGTAGTTCCAGTTCTAATGGCTTTAATAAGGAATGAACCTTGTCATCTTCAAAAGAGCACTAGAGAAAGAGAACAAAAAGACATATAAAAATTTAATTCAGATATTTTCTCAACTTCTTCAGTCAATTTAATATTCATAGACTCCATTGAAATCATCACAAAAAGTACACGCTTAACAAATATTTTTATTGAATTAAACAGACTTATAATCTCACAGTAGAGAGGGAAGAAAGCCATGGTAAATCCTTGGGGGAATCAAAGAAAGTTTTTCAAAGAAGAGGTAACAGGGGTGGGGTATTCCAGACCAAGGGGAGAAGGTGCTGGAAGGCAGAAAGGCCTCAGGATACTAGTATAAGAAGATGACCAACAGTTCTGACTGTATCTGGGATAAAGTAAAGAAAGTCAGATGGGTTTTAAAAAAGAAAATTTCGCCACATAAGATACGCCCACTGGTCTCTATTTGCCTAGAACATGAGAGGAAGAAGGAGATCCAAGAATCAGAGGAGGACATCAACTGCTGGCTTAAACCTCACTTTAAATGTGTGAAAAACCACTACCTCCGTTACCATGACACCGTAAGAAATGGATGGTACCTGATTACCATTAATAATGGTTTTGAACAAGGACCCAACAAATGGAATCCTGGTCAAAAAGAGAAAAAGCATGGAACATAACTTCAAATTCACATGGAAACAGATGTATTAGATCAACTGAGACTGGAAGAACTCTTAAAACTAATGCCCACAAGTAATTTCTAAACCTTGAACCAAAACTATCCCTGGAAGTCACTGTAAAACTAAGTAACAGTTTAGCCCAAAGAATGTTTCCCTCAAGCATAGCACTCTTGTAAAGAATTATCTATGTGAGCATAATCTGACACCAGTTCATCTAAACTGCACAGGAGAACTCTAAGGGGCAGAGAGCCTAAATTAATGGTGATAAAACAATGTAAGTGAAGATCGTGAAAACGTCAACACAACATGAGATATGTAACCAAGGTTACTGGCCTGTTCACGTAGAAAATGTGAATGGATATATGGTTGGTAACATATATTGCCACCTAAAATAAAGAAATCATATAGAAAAAGGGGGAACCATATACCTCACTCCCAGCCCACATTTCAAAAATCACTCGGATAATCGTGTGCAGGTTGGACTGGAAAAGAAGTAAGATAGAGGCATATACTGGGAGGAAAGAGGATGACAGCATAGTTCAGCACTTTCCAAAGAACCCTACCCACCAGGTGTTACAGAGATCCCAAGGGAAAATGTTTTCCTAAGGAAAAACAAATCTTACGTACTCTTGATGGAAAATGACACTGGCACCTGAACAACTCTTAAAAAGTAAAACAGAAAATACACGTGTTGAATGTTGTTTGGCCCACTATCTCCAAAATGTCTTCTGACCAGGGAGTCTTATTTTACTGCAAAATGTGTAAACATCCTGAGGACTATATTTTGGAAAATACTTTAGTAGTGGCTGAGTGGAAATAATTTGTGACCTTAGTATTTTCAACCAAGTATATAACTTGTTAGCAATTAACAACAATGTATTTTCAATTAGAAAGATGAATGGGGCTTGCAAATAGATATGCAAAGTCATGAAGGAAATTTAGAACCTTAGTCTCACACCACAACGATGACTGAAAGTATCACCCAGATAATAATTAGCGAGTCTGTAGGGAGCCACAGCCAATCTACTGAGAATAGAGTATACTTACATACTCATATATAACATGAATTGCATCAGTGTATTGATGCAAAGAGATTCTAATCCTCGATATCCCTTAAGCAAGAATATTACAAGCAATAACTGGATGAAACTATCACTCTTGGAGATTTTTAAAAACCAATCACATATACTGAAGATTTAAAAAAAAAAACACCACCAAACTCAATGCCCTTAAGTCAGATCTGACTCATAGTGACCCCTCCTTGGGTTTCCAAGGCAGTATCACTACAGAAGTAGGTTGCCCAGTCTTCCTTTAGAGGAATGACTCGTGGGTTTGAACCACCAGCCTTCTGGTTAGCAGTCAAACGCCTTAGGCACTATGCCACCAGAGCTGGATACTTAAGGTAATTACCTAAAATTGTTTCAAAGATAAAAAAGGGCTGAGGTTAAAAAAAAAACAGGACCAGGTTTGCTGGTCTGATAGAGCTTGGTGAGACCACTGAGACTACAGCCCCTAGCCACCCTTTAGGTCTGGAATTGAACTCACTGCTGTGGCTTCCAGACAAACAGACAGGCATATGGGGTAAACATTTATATCAGGTAAATACACTCCTTGGAGCAATCAATCGTGTGCAAACAGAAGGGCAGTGTTTGTACAGGAAGACAGCTTGGGGCAGAAGTGCAAGGGAGGTGCAAAAAGGGCAAGGGGGCCACATGTTATGACCTCCTCTAATCCCACAAGAGGAAGACAGAATCACCATCAATAGCCCAAGGGCTATTATTATTGCAAGGCCAGACATGCTGCCTCCCTCCAGTCCTTTCACCAACTGTTCCTCCCAAAGCACCTACCACCTCTCTCCTGGGTTCAATAATTCGCTGCAGTGGCCACACAGAACTCACAGATTACGGGGTTTATTAGGAAAGCACCACAGGCTACAATTCAAGTTCAGGAAAAATGCTCAGCCTCCCTCCCAGCCCACCGTCCCTCAGCCAACAGTCTCTCACAGTCTCTTTCCCAGCAGTGCTGGTCCCTCGGTGTCTCACTCAGCAATGCACGTCTCTTGCGTCTCTTTCCCAGCAACACATGTATCAGGAGCCCGTGTCTCTTTCAGCAGCAGGTCTTCCTCAACCAGCAGTCAGAGAGAGTTCTAGTTCTAGGAGGCCTCCTTTTGAGCTTGGCAGAGTGGCCAAGCCAACCGATCATAACAACAGAATTCTAAGCACCTGAGAGTGAGCCTCCCATAACATTGCATTGTGCCACCCCCAACAGAAATAACCCTGGTGGATAACATTTACAATCAGGAGCTCTTCAGTTGCTCATTCCACCACTGAGTTTACAATGACTTATAGGTAGAAAAGCCACACTAAGTAATTTACTACACTGCAGGAGGGAAGGACACAGGGAAGAAGGGAGGGAAGAACACAGGGAAGAAGTAACTATGGGGAAGACATGGGAAGAGAGCTGTTACACTGTAGGGAATTGCAATCAGTGTCATGACACAAAATTGCCATACGGAAAATTATTTTCCTCTTTAAACTTTCACCCAAATTATAATAAAAATTTAAAAAATAAAAAAAAAAATTTATTCTGCTCATGAAAGTGCAAAAAAAAAAAAAAAAGGAGGGGGTTGAGGGACACTTAAGCTAGAAGACAGTATCATGATGAAAATAAAATAATAATGGCTAACACACACAGTGCTTCCTATACAACAGGCACCATTTGAAGAGCTCTGTGTGTATTCATGCATTTAATCCCACAACAACCTTATGAAATAGGTACTACTATTTTTCCCAATTCATAATGAAGCAACTAATGTAGGAAGAGATCACTTTCTCACAGTTACAAAATTGTAAGTAGCAAGGCCAGGATTCTGCACTGGCAGTCTAATTCCAAAAATCCAAGTCTTTAACCACCACACAGCACTGGTTATCTAAATAAGCAAATGAAACCTTGCCAAGTTAATTTCAAAAATCCTGCTGAAAGAGTAGCTCACATAATGGTGGGAAAATTGGGTAATGGGCTGTGCTGTATATGGTTGTGCCTAAATATTTTTGGAATTACCAGTGGCAATCAGGTAGAACGCACCTTTATCAAATGACACTGCCTCGTAACATTTCAATGTTAACAAAAAACATACTTGAATAACTGGTTGAGAAGTCCATAGGCATGGTTTTTATATACCATGACTAGAGAAAGACTGCCGATTCCCAGGACTACGAAGTACTTGAGATTCAGCTCATTCACTTTAATGTGATGTAAATTACAGTGACTGTGGTTTAAAAAACTTTTTTCCTTTCACTAGAAAAAAATATAGTCTTTTAATGAGTATTTTCCTGAAAAAAAAAAAAAAAAGTGCCTTGTGAATTAGATCTCTTTCTGGTCTAATTTGACACAAGCAATTTGACCTTCAAGGAAGATCATAATCTACCAAAATGTCCATCTATATAAATATAGTCTGAAAACACTGCATTCTGCCATCCACATAAGCTAGCACAGTGCCCACAGAGATGTGCGGTAGGTAACCTGCAAGTGGGTGTTCCCCTTTCCCAGGAAGACATTAAGTGCCGTTACATGACTCCAGGCCTCTTCACATACCACATACTGTGCCTGACCTGTCCTCACCTTTCCCTCTCTCCCTGGTACTCATCATCCCTCACAGCTCAGTCCAAATGTCAGCTCTCCAGATAAACTTCTCTGACACAGTTAATCATTCCCCCTTCTCACCTGCACAGTACCCGATTCCAAACATATAGGAATGTTAAGCTTATGCTTAAGATATATAATTGCCTGCTGAAAGGCAAAGGAGCTCTGGTGACTAGTGGGTAAGGCTTCTGTTTGCTAGACAGAAGGTCAGCAGTTAAAAACCCACCAGCTGCTCGACAGGAGGAAGATGAGGTGATCTATCTCTTGTAAAGATTTACAGCCTTGGAAACCCAGTGGGGGTCACTATGAGCCAGAATCAACTCAATGGCAGTGGGTTTTTGGGGGCTGAAAGGCAAGGAATTAAGCAGTACAGTTGTGATGGCCACAATTAGGCAATACTAGGCATTTTCATGCTTTGGAAGTATGAGACTGGCACCTCAATGCAACAAATGCTGAGTGATAACCATATATAAGGAGGCACTGTGGTAGGGAAACAAAAATATATAAAATAATGATCCCCATCCTCAATCTCCCTTGCAGAGACAGTTATGCAAATATAAGCAGGTTGTGAATTAAATCAAAGTTAATACAAACACTAAGAAATATACAAATTCAGAATGAAATACATGAAATAGAAAACACCTTATGGAGCAAGGACATATTTTGCTCCTATTCTGAATTTGCAATTCTCAAACTTAAAATATTTTTACTCATTCAGCAACTAATATTTAACAAATATTTAT